AAGTGTATAATGATAGATATGTGAACATACTACATCCATGATTTGTTTCTGTATGTAACAGTTATATTAGGAGCACTCTCTCATTAAGTTACCTTCGAAGACACACTTGTCTAATGCTTAACATTTTATATTATGAGTATAGCCAACTTCATTATCATGGGTAGATGACATACCCCAGAAACATGGAGACTTGCATCTCCCTCTTAGTCTGTGACACATTAATCTCTCTCTCTCTCTCTCTCTCTCTCTCTCTCTCTCTGTGTGTGTGTGTGTGTGTGTGTGTGTGTGTGTGTGTGCGCGCGCCTCAGTCATTGTCTTAGGGTAGAGGAAAGGAGAATAGTGCCTGCTGAAAAGCCTGGTGATTTGAGTTTAACCTCATGACCCACAAGGTAGATGGAGAGAACTGACTCTTGCAATTGTTCTATAGCCTCTGCATGCATGCTGTGGTACCTGTGCACCTATTCACATGTGTTCACCTGTATGCACACAATAGTAAATGTAGAGTAAATAAAAATGAAGGTGGGAAATCATTAGATGAGCCAGGTGGGCAGTGTTTAAAGCAGCAGTGGGTAAGGGTATCTTTAGTTGCCTCAAAAATGTTTCCATTGAGGATCTAAAGGTTAAGAAACATCATGAGGGTGAATAATAGCCGTGACAATAGAGCAGCACTGAAAAAGTAGGTCAAGTACTAAAACTGATACAGGGCATGGGTTTCTGTTACTATCAAAGTTAAAATGCTTAAGTCTGGTATTGCTGTAATGAAACTTTCTTTCACTTTGCTAAGACTCTAGGGTTAGATAGGCAGTGGTGGACCATACCTTTAATCTCAGCACTTGTAAGGCAAAGAAAGGCAGGTGGATCTCTGTGAGTTTGAGGCCAGCCTGGTCTACAGAGAAAGTTCCAGGACAGCCAGTACTGTTACTCATAGAACCCCTGTCTCAAAAAATAAAAACAAAAAGAAAGAAAAAGGATTCTAGTTTGAAAACACATCCTTGATATCAGCATCACTATGATCAAAGAATACTTGAATTATAGTCACTGCAATTGATTACACTTAAAGAATGAAATATGAGATTTTTATTAAAACACATGCTTATTATTTCAATTTGAAATCCTTACTAATGTAATAATATAACAAAAACGTAATATATTCTACGAGAGATAATCCAAGCCAGGTGTGGTAGTACACACCTGTATTCCCAGCACTCAGTACTTGGAGACAGGATAGGAGTCCATGGCTGTCCTTAGCTACATAGCAGATTCAGAGCAGCACTAGGATACATGAGACCCTGTCTCAGGGAAAAAAAGAATGAAAGCAGGTTAGAACTCCATTTGAGAAATAAAGCAGATTGCACATGTGTGGGTCAGCTGGAAGGGCACTTCCTTAGTATTAAGGAGTCCCTGGATTCACTTGCCACTAGAAAAACTGAAGCCTAGATCATTTAAGCCTGGATGTTCTGAGGTAACCTGGGCACATAGCTAAACCTTAACACATGCACACACACACACACACACACACACACACACACACACACACAGAGAGAGAGAGAGAGAGAGAGAGAGAGAGAGAGAGAGAGAGAGCCCTACCTACCTACCTATACTGGCATTATAATCTTTTGCACGCCGAGAGAACTGGAGGTAAATGCTGGTTACAAAGATTATACCCAGGGGATCCTGGTAGATACTAAAAATGTGGTGTTTTTATAACTTGTACCTGGGTCTGAAATTATTTCAAAACTCTTAATTTTAAATTGTAATAAAAGTAAAAAAATGTATTGAAAAGCCAGCAGCTGGTTAGCATATTCAAACCTCTTCTCCCCTCCAAGTGAAAATGGCCCAACAGCCATCTTGCTTAGACAATTTCCTTGTTAAATGATGTGGCTAAAGCAGTGGAGTGGATGATGTTTTTTTCTGGGCTGGAGAGACAGCTCAGTGGCAAAACGCTTGCAAGAGGTCCTGGGTTTGATCTCAAGACACCACAAAAAGTGATGCTGTCACTGGGGAGTGGTGGTGGATGATTTTACAATCAGAAGAAACACACGCACACACACCCCCCCCACGCACACGTGATTGAAATAGCTTCAGTACCTTGACTGAAGAATTTACCTTCCCAATTCAGTCTTTCAACAAGGACTGTTCAAAGGGCTTTATCAAGTTCTAATGTAAGCTAACTGTTCAGTTAACTTTCTACAGAAAATGAAGTAGGGTAAATTGTGAGTCACTCTTTGAGATGATGTTCTGTGTTCACTGTGACTGTCATCTCTGCCACGGGACAGATAGGAGCAGGAGAGCCTTGGAGCCACTCATGATAGTGTGGATAATGAGGGGAACAAACTGATCTTATTTGACCCACTCTTTACGTTTAACCCTAGTGAAATCTCTCTGTATTGTAGGAACAGCTTTCCCGTTTGTGCCTTCCCACCAGAAACCTATCCCCTCTTACACAAGATTCATTTTGAGCATGAGCCTCTTGAGGCAGGATCCTTCTGATGGATTTTTCTCTAGCTACCACTCTACCTCTGTGGTCAGACCATTGGCTGTCCACCAACTTTTCTCTTTGTAAAGTGAATTCTCTTCAGCATTTGTTATAGAGGGAGAGAGGAAGGACAAAAGAGAGGAGAGGAGAGGGAAGGAGAGGAGGGGAGGGAGGAAGAGTCGAGAGGAGGGAGAGATTATAAATGCTTTTCCCTTGGGATAAGACACATTTGCTATATAACCCAAAGTAAGCCGTACAACTTCTCTTTACTGGAAATCAGTTGACATGACTTATAATAAAAAAAAATCAGATTTTATGTGTATGTCTTGTATATACACCACATATGTGCCTTATGTGTGTCCTTGCTCTCTTGACCTAGGCTGATTTTGACCAGGCCACACAAGATGTGAGGAAGCTGAAAAGTAGACCTGACGATGAAGAACTCAAAGAACTCTATGGGCTCTACAAACAGTCCATCATCGGAGACATCAACATTGGTGGTACCCAATCATGGTTTTAGACAAATAGATGCACTTGTTTGCACAGTGTTTGTAGACGTGCACAGTGAAAAGTAAAGTTGAAACTTTCCTTCTTTTGGCAGCGTGTCCAGCAATGTTAGATTTGAAGGGCAAGGCCAAGTGGGAAGCGTGGAGCCTTCAAAAAGGTTTTGAACTCTTTTCTTGTGTGTGTGTGTGGGGGGGGGATTTTCAAGACAGGGTTTCTCTATGTAGCTAGCTCTGTAGACCAGGCTGGCCTCGAACTTACACAGATCCACCTGCCTCTGCCTCCCATGTGCTGGGATGAAAGGTGTGCACCACCATCGCCCAGCTGGTTTTTAACTCTTAAATAAGGTTAAAACAAGCCTTCACTTCCTACCAAACCAGTGAGATAACATGTTTGTGTCTTTCTAGGATTGTCGAAGGAAGACGCAATGAGTGCCTATATTTCTAAAGCAAGAGAGCTGATTGAGAAATATGGAATCTAGAATTTGATAGAGGAGACAGAGCTCCTGTGGAAGCCTTCATAACAGCATCATGATGTTTAGGGGGAAATGCATTGGGAACTATAAATTATGCATATTTTTCCTATTAGCATGAATTATAATCCTTAGGACTGTGTTAACATAGTTACCTAATTTTACTTGCTTGTGCAAGGTGACTATTAAAGGTTCCTTTTCAAAAACTGTTTTGTAGTATGCATACAAACTTCTTTGCATTTATGTGTGTGCATGAGTATTCATATGTGTGTGTTACCCGTGTATATGCATGCATGTGGAAGCCAGAGGATAGCTTGGGTGTTTTTCTAAGGTATGCTATTTACTACTTCCTGTGAGGCAGGGTCTGTCCTTAGCTTGTAGCCACAGATACCCTCTTATCTCTGCCCCCACCCCAGCACTGGGATTTCAGATATGTCCCACCATGCTTGGCAGTCTGGGGCTTGAACTCAGGTGTTATGCTTATGAGGTAAGCACTTTACTGACTGAGCCATCACCCTAGCCCCAGTATTGGTTTGCTTGATTTAATCTGTTCTTCTATAATGAGTTAGTGCTACTGGGCAATTAGAAAAGTTTGTTCAGAATTAATAGCAGCCAGACTGTTCTCAGTGCTTCAGGAATTGGAGCCAGGAGAGTCATGAATTCAAAGACAGCCTGGGATACATAGTGAGACCCTACCTCAAAAAAAAAAAAAAGCCTAAAACTGAAGGAAAAGGTGGGAAAGTTGGACAAACAGAACAGTTCCTTTACTGCACCATGCAGCTCTGGGCCCCCAAGAATGTGGGCCCTGATGGAGTGACAGGTAAACTTGCCTCCTGACTAGGCTGTGGTGTGACTACCCATGGAAGGGCTCCAACCAGTCACTGTTAGGGTAGCAGAACCCCAAGATATCTGGGGTTGTGGATACCCTGAGGTCTTCCTGTCATAATGGACAGTAATTGTTTAGTGTTGTATTTTTGATAAAGCAGCAATTACTCTTTCTTATGAAATAGGTCTCACATATATTTTTTTTTAAAGATTTAGATTAAACTTTGAACCACAGTGTGGTGTTGTTGGAAAAATAATAATTTCCGTCTGTCAATCACTCTTGCCATTAAAATAGTGCTAGAGGCTGCAGGTGTAACCCATCTGGAGGCACGTTGCTGATGAAAATTTGTATAAATGTCAATCCAATTGGAATCTAATAAAAAGATAAAGGACTCTAGTAGAAGTTTTCCCCCTTTAACAATATTTTTATTTACCCTTTGAATTTGTCCTAAATGTATACAGTGTATTTTGGTCATATTCGTATCCACCCCTCTCTTGACTTTCCAACCCCTTGATGGATGTCCTCCAACTTCATGCCTCCTTCACATCTTTTTTAAATCGCCCACTGAGTTCAAGTAGTGCTGCCTGCATGTGCCACAAGGGTGTACAGCATTCCCTGGAGCATGAGAAACCTGCTAGTGGCAACATTCCCCAAAGAAAAGCAGACACCCCTTTCCACTGCAGCCATCAGCTACAACAGCCCCTTGGATTCCCTGACCCTTAGCATTTCTCTTTTCCCCAGAGAGAGGAATGTTCTATGAAGAAATTCATTAATATGCATCTTTACAATTTCCGAAAACTAAAAACCTACATGTCTGTGACCTACAGGGACAGCTTGTGGCCCATTTGCATATTTGAAAGCCCATCTAATAGCAATCAAGTGACGACAATTCCAAACACTTGGTTATATAGTTCTTGATGAAGTTTTCGTTGTCAGGGTCCAACAGATAAAAGTGATCACCTGGCAGCATGTGGATGTCAATCTTCCCACTGGTTATGTCTTTCCAGCCTAAGAAATATATGCAATTTTATTTAGTAGTAAATGGCATCAGCCAATGACAATTACTTCCAGGTATTATTTCACTAAAAGCTAACACTCAATGGTAGAGTTACATCCAAGGTCTCAGGTTTCTGGGTATCCTGTGTTTTTAATCTCTTAACGGCCTAGCAGTATTCAGCGATATGATCTATATCTGTTTACACCCAGTAAAACTTGGGCTGATTTTCCATTTCAGTGACTACTAGTTCACATTTGCTGAGAACCATCCCACACATATTTCAACAAAATATCCCGAATTTTAAAAGAATTTCACCTTCTGTGTCCTCTATTATGTCTTCAGATCCAATGAAACATGTTATGTCCTGGGAAAGGAGAGTTTCTGAGGGCATGTCAAAGCTGTAACATCAAAGAGCTCCTTTGTAATTTTCATTCTTAACATCCCAGAGTCCTTTCTTCTTCCCTACCTCACTGAAATGAAGCAGGGGATAGCCATGCTTGTCACCCTTCTCCCACTAGTCCCAACAAGGAAGATATTCACAGGGACTACCTCTCTCCATCAGAACTGACTGGAGGTCCATGTGGCCCAGACTGTTTTCCAATCATGAACTAAGTACTGGAGTTGAATGTAATCTTTAGAAATAGATAGAGAAAATAATAATTCAGTTGGCCACCTTGTCAGTAGTAGTCTTGACACAGGTGGAGAAAGAATCAGTGAACTTGAAATGGTCATTAGAAATGATCCAAGGTAGGAAATCTTACAAAGAAGACAGAATGCCTAAGCAATGTGGATATGTCTAGAGACAACCAATCTGGTGGCAGAAGGGGAGCTAGAACAACACTGAGGTCCAGGAAGGAGACTGGGAGTTGGGAGGGGTCATAAGCTTTGGTATCGCCCAGACAATAGAGGTCTCTGGGCTAATGGTCTGAACCTTGATGATGGGAGATGGGAGAGGGCCGAGAGATGCTCTGTGGGCCTGGTTTTATATATTTGAAGAAACAGAGCTTAGGACTGGTGAGGGCGGGGCATATTTGGGAAGAGGAAAGAAGGAAGGAAGATAGGGGAAGATTCAAGAGTAGGTTAGATATAGCCTTTCAAATCTGGAGGAAGCTAACTGTGGTGAGTAGCCAGCACAGTTTGATTTGCTGATGAAGAGATGTGAATGTGGAGGGGGTGTCTCATGCTGAGTGGAACATCCCTGTTCATGTCTTTATGTTTGTGCTACTGAGGCTAAAGGGAGTGAAAAAAGCCATGGGAGTGAGATTTGTTATATTTTCCTTTTAGAAGTGGCTTCTGGGACTGTGGAGGTAGCTCAGCAGTTAAGAGCATTCTTGACTAGTGGTGAGAGTGGTGTGTTGACATCTCCTACTATGAGTGTGTGAGGTTTTTATGTGAGCTTTGAGTTTTAGTAGCGTTTCTTTTACGAATGTGGGTGCCTTTGTATTAGGGGCATAGATGTTCAGAACTGAGACTTTGTGCTGATGGAATTCTCCTGCGATGAATACAAAATGACCATCTTCATCTCTTTTGATTAATTTTGGTTTGAAGTCTAACTTGTTAGATATTAGGATAGCCACTCCTGCTTGCTTCTTGGATCCATTTGATTGGAAGGTCTTTTCCCAACCTTTACCCTGAGGTAATGTCTATCTTTGAAGCTTAAATGTGTTTCTTGTATGCAGCAGAAGGATGGATCCTGCCTTTGTATCCATTCTGTTAGCCTGTGTCTTTTTATAGGTGAGTTAAGACCATTAATGTTGAGGGTGAGTAAGGACCATTGATTTTTAATGCTTATTTGTTTAACTTTGTGACTTTAAAGAAAGAAATTAAAGAAGATACTAGAAAATGGAAAGATCTCCCATGCTCTTGGATAGGTAGGATAAACATAGTAAAAATGGCAATCTTGCCAAAAGCAATCTACAGATTCAATGCAATCCCCATTAAAATCCCACAATTCTTCACTGACCTTGAAAGGAAAATAATCAACTTTATATGGAAAAACAAAAGACCCAGGATAGCCAAAACAACCCTATACAATAAAAGAACTTCAGGATGAATCACCATCCCTGACTTTAAGCTCTACTACAGAGCTATAGTTCTGGAAACAGCCTGGTATTGGCACAAAAATAGGCAGGTAGACCAATGGAATCGAATTGAAAATCCTGACATAAACCCACACACCTATGAACACCTGATTTTCAACAAAACAGCTCAAAGAATACAATGGGGGGGGGGAGGAAAGCATCTTCAACAAAAATGGTGCTGGCACAATTGGATGATGGTGTGTAGAAGACTGCAGATAGACCCATGTCTTGCCATGCATAAAACTCAAGTCCAAATGGATCAAAGACCTCAACATCAATCCAGCCACACTGAACCTCTTAGAAGAGAAAGTAGGAGGTGCCTTTGAACAAACTGGTATAGGAGACCGCTTCATGAACATAACTCCAGGAGCACAGACACTGAGATCAACAATTAATAAATGGGACTTCCTCAAACTTAGAAACTTCTGTAAGGCAAAGGACACAGTGGACAAGACCAAATGGCAGCTCACAGACTGGGAAAAGATTTTCACCAATCCTACATCTGACAGAGGGCTGATCTCCAAAATATACAAAGAACTCAAGAAACTAGTCAACAAAACACCAAACAACCCTATTAAAAAATGGGGTACAGATCTGAAGAAAGAATTCTCAATAGAGGAAATCAAAAAGGCTGAAAGACACTTAAGAAAGTGCTCAACATCCTTAGCTATCAGGGAAATGCAAATCAAAACAACTTTGAGATACCATCTTACCCCTGCCAGAACGGCTAAAATTAGAAACACCAGGGATGACTCCACCAGGGATGGTGGAGAGGATGTGGAGAAAGGGGAACACTCCTCCACTGCTGGTGGGAGTTCAAACTCGTACAGCCATTTTGGAGATCAGTATGGCAGTTCCTCAGGAAAATGGGAATTAGTTTACCACAGGACCCAGCAATCCCCCTCTTAGGCATATACCCAAATGATCCACATCCATACAACAAAGACATCTGTTCAACTATGTTTATAGCAGCATTATTTGTAATAGCAAGAACCTGGAAGCAACCTAGATGCCCCTCAACTGAAGAATGCATAAAGAAGATGTGGCACATCTACACAATGGAATACTACTTTGCAGAAAAAAATAATGGAATCCTGATATTCACAGGCAAGTGGATGGCACTGGAAGAAACCATCCTGAATGAGGTAACCCAGTCACAAAAAGAGGAACATGGTATGTACTTGTTCATATATGGATTTTAGATCTAGAGCAAAGGATCACCAGTCTATAATTTACACCACCAGAGGAACTAGGATACAAGGTGTATTCTAAGAGATTCACATAAAGTCCCTCACAGAAGCGGGAAGGGACAAGTCCCCCCCAGAGAACATGGGAAGTGGGGGGGCAGTGAATGGAGAGAGAAGAAGAGAAGGGGAGGAGAGGAAAGCACGTGAAACTAGGAAGATTGAGTCAGGGTAGGAATAGAAAACAGAAGAGAGAGAGAGAACATAAAAGAGGGAGCCATTATTGGTTTGAAGAGAAAACTGAACCTAAAGAAATGTCTAGAGACCTACAAGACTGCCGCCAACTAACAATTTGAGCAACTGTGGTAAGGCTACGATAGATACCCTTCCCGGACAGTAAGATCAACAACTAACTTATCTAACATCATGGAGCTCTCATCTAGTACCTGTTGGAAACAGAAGCAAACACCCATACATAAACACTGAGTCAAACTAGAATCCATATGCAGATGGAGAGGACAAGACCAGGCTGCAGAACCACATAGAGACAGCTGACCCGAACAAAGAGGAGCTAACGGGCCCCTAGACTGATAGCTTGGAATCCAGCATGGGACTGACTCAGACCCCATGAATATGGGTCTCAGCCAGAAGGACTGGGCAGTCTAAGGGACCTCAGACAGTGGAACCAGGATGTATTCCTAGTGCACTAAAGGACCTTGCGGACATATTCCCCCATGGAGGGACATTCCCTTAACCTAGAGAAAGGAGAGAAGTTCTAGTCCCTACTTCAAATGGCTTGACAGATTTACATGACCCCACCTGGATGGCATTGCCCTACATGTGGATTGGGGCGGGGGGGGGGATGGGAGGGTGGTCAGGGTGCATGTGAGGGGGGAAGAAGGGTAAGAGAGAGGGAGGGAGAGGGAACTGGGATCAACATGTAAAGTAAAAGTAGTAGTAGTAGTAATAATAATAATAATAATAATAATAATAATAATAATAATAATAATAATAATAATAATAATAAAGAATTCTTGAGGAGGACCCAGGGTTTGCCTCCTGGCACAGCATGGTAGCTGGGAACTAAGTCTGTAAATTCAGTTTCAGGGGATCCAATGCCCTCTTCTGGTTACCGCAGGTACTGCATGCACATGCCCCATACAGGCAGGCAAAACACATAAATCTTTAAAGCGGCTTTGGGTAAGAACTGGGCTACACCTAAGCATGATTTCATTTCACCCTCACAACCCATGAAGTGTCATTAATTAGAGATTTTCCTAGACCAAAGATGGCTCAGTGGGCAGAGATGTTTACACTAAGCTTTGTTAGTGGAGTTCCATTTCTGAGACCCACATGGTGGAAAGAAAGAACCAACTCCCAAAAGTTGTCATCCAACTTCCATATGTGCACATTAGCAAGCACCCACCCTCGCCTCCCACACCCAAAGTAAATAAATAAGAAATGTACTTGAGAGAATGTCCTTTCCCCATAGTATATTTTTGGCATTTTGCTATTTAGCATAAATATGTGAATTTATTTGTGAGCTCTCTAACTCTAAATTAATTGGCATGTCTCTTATTATGCCGGTACTATGCTGTTTCAATTCCTAAAGTTTAGTTTTTAATTAATAAATTTTAAGAGACTTTTTAGATTATAAGGAAAAGCGGATGCCACAGAACTGTCTCACATGCCCCTGCCCCAGGCAGCCCCTTGTCATCCCAATTAATTTTTTTTTTTGTTTTACATTACTTCTTGAACTGGCAAATAAAAATGACTAAGTGAAGACAGCTACACACAAATTGATCTTTTTTTGTGGCAAGAACACTTTAAAACACTGCTCTTAGTGACCTTCAAGACTACGACACATTGTTAACAACTGCAGCCACCATTGCTACACAGATCTAAGCTTGTCTGTCCTGCTCCCTACATGGTTTCAGTGTTTTGGGTCGCAGAGAAAACAAATACATTGTAACTTTTAGAATATTGCATTCTCATATACACAGCCTCTATTAACTACCAGTCTGTTTTTTCTTTTCTTTTGGGATGGGGTTTTACTGTGCAGTCCTGCTGGTCCTGGAACTCACTATGTAGACCAGGCTGGCCTCAAATTCACAGAGAATGTTGAGTACTGGCATTAAAGATGTGCACCACCACTGCCTGACTTATATTTTCCTATAAATATCAACACACACATAAACACACACAGAGTTACTTACACGAATTTTTTCAAAATGCTAACATCTGCCTTCAGAACAGGAATGCATTGATTCATAAAGTCCTTGTCCTCGATGAGATGCTTGGGGGTGCCTCCAAAATTCAGAAGGTAGTGTCTGATTTGTTCTTCTGACAATTGGTTAAGTTCAGGAATTTGAGGCCGGGATTTTGACTTAAAACGTGAACAAACACAAGGCTGATCATTCATGAAACACACTAGCCCCAAACTCAAGCCTGCCTCCTTAAATCAGGGAGAGAGAAGAAAGTGCCATAGGAACATCAGCATTAGAATGCCACCAAAATGGAGTTCCTGATTTAGAACACTAGTCCAACCCCAGACTGTACAGAGGAAGCAAAGACAGTCAAGCTGGCAAGAAGGAACCAGGAATCACGAGACTAGCTTTAAAAGCTACAGCTGGTCCAAAAGTTTGGCATCATTTTAAGATTCTTTCCCAGCACTGATTGGTTTCTCTCCTGAACATTGGTAAGTTCCCAAGTGAGGTAGCATTCTGAGGACAGAAATCGTGCAGGGACACCACTAGCTCAGGGGGGCAGAAACAATGAGACGTTATTCAGGAAGAAGTTGAAGTTCATTTTGGAGGGTTGGAGAGAAATATGTTGAAAGATCTCAGGGGTGTTCAACATCGCACGCACAGTATCCTTGCCATCATCCCCGGCTGGACCAAAGGAGAACAATGACCTGATGGTTAGCACCTCATTTCCCTGTTCTCATTCTCCCATCCAAAGTAAACCGGGACACTTACGTGTGGGGCACTCGCACTGGACGCAAAGAAATGCAGCGGTTCCATTTTGTATTTCTCCTTTAGGCGCAGTGCAGTCACAAAAGCAATATAGGTTCCAAAACTAAACCAGGGAAGAGACCAACATGACAGACAGTATTGGGCAAAACTCATGGTAACCAAGTGACACGAACACAGCGGTGACTGAGGGATGGGCAAAAGCCAACTGGCTGGTAACTGGTTTGTAAAAAGCATATTACCATTGATGAATGTCGACATAAGTGTGTCAGGCCTGAGAGATGGCTCTGTCAGCAAAGCACTGGCCTCACATATGTGATGGCTCAAGTTCTGGTCCCCAGAACCAATGGAAAAGGCTCAGTTCAGCTCTCAGGCTTGAAATCTCAACAATGCAAGAAATGAGGGATGAAGATGGGAGGAGCCCTGACAGATGGTGGCCTGCTAGCTCAGCCTATGTGGCAAAGTTTCAGGCCACCGAAAGACCCTGTCTCAAACAAAAGATAGACAATAGATGGTGAGTAAGGGCCAACACTTGAGGTCATCCTCCGACTTTCCCATGTAGTTCAGGCACATGCATCCATGAACTACACACATCCATGAAAGTACACACACAGGGAAGGGGGAAGCTTGTCCTCTCTTCAAACTGATTGTCAGGCATTTGACTACAGTAGTGGGGAGCTGAGTAACACAAGGAACGGCTTAAAGTTCATCTATATCTCTTGTTCTTCACTACAGCTGCATGTTACTTTGTTCTTCAAAGCGTGCTCCGGGGGCACCTAGGGATGTCCAAGACTCCATTTGTGCTGGATAGCTTTATATCAACTTGACAAGCACTGATGTCATCTGAGAGGAGGGACCCTCCTCCTTGATAAGGGAGTTTCTTAATTAGTGATAGATGGGGAAGGGCCCAGCTCATTGTGGGTAGTGCCTTCCCTGGACTGGGTTCTATAAGAAATCAGGCTGAGCAAGCCATGGGAGGAAGCAGCACCCCTCCGTGGCTTCTGTATCAGCTCCTGTCTGTCTCCAGGTTCCTTCCCTGTTTGAGTTCCTGTCCCGACTTCCTTCAGTGATGAACTTCAGTGTGGAAGTGTAAACCAGATAAGCCCTTTGCTTTCCAAGTTGCTTTGGTTATGGTGTTTCATCACAGCACTGGTAACCTGCAATAAGTGTTTTCAGAATAATGCTAACATGTTCTCCGTGGAACCAGAGAGATAGCTCAGCAGATAACAGCACTTGCTACATGAGCCTGATGGCCTAGTTTGCCCTCTGGATGTCACAGGGGAAAGAAAGAAACCATTTCTTAAGGCTGGCTTCTGGCCTCCACCTTCACACCCCCACACAGGTGTGTTGCACTTCCACACATCCAGTTCTATATGAGCACTATTCATTTTAAAAGTGTGTCTGTTTTTAGTTATGGAAGTGCCCGTGCATCTGGGTGGGGGTATGCTCACATAAGTGCAGGTGCCTATGGAGACCACAGGCATCTGATCCCTAGGAGCTGGAGTTACAGGCAGGTATGAGTTGCTGTATGGGAGTGGTGGGAACCAAACTCAGGTCCTAAGAGCATACTCACTGTTAAACACTGAGCCTCATGATCGAGGTTCATTTAATCCCCGTAGGTAGGAACTTCATGGAGGTGGAAACTAATTTAGAAGCTTAAGAAATCTGCCCAAGGCCATGGCTGTGTAGCTTCAAGGAGGTTTGTGCCCTTGGGAAATAAATACTATTTGCGTATTTTTTTAATTTGAAGGATTTTTTTTCTTAAATAGAAGTTTCTGGTAGTCTTTATTTTGGGTGTAATTCCTACACAGACTAGAGAACTGTAAAAGTTGAGATTGGAGATAAGTACTCAACATTCTGTTTAACTAGGAGAAGAAGTTGCATCTCACAAAACACAAAATGCACACATGCACTTGTGGTTGAAGTACCTCTCTAGGGCCATGAGTGTGATAGGCAAGTGCTCTATTGGGAACAACCATCCCAAGTCCCACACATGTTGTGTATAACAAAATGTAAATACCTGTGGCCAAAAAATGCAAATGCTTTGTCTTGGATAACGGGAAGCAGAGCAGATACAATTTCATCAACTACTTCATGGATGTCCGTTGCAAACTGTTCTTGACTTCGAGTTTCCCTTCCAGCCAGTCTTACAGCATGCACTGGAAATTAAGAGGCAAGTCACTTAAACACACAGACAAAGAAGACACTGAGATGTTGTGAACAAGTTAACACAGATGATGAGACACTGTGGCATTGAAAAGACCTTATATTTACACGAAGTGAATAAAAAAGGTCAAAATGATGGTAAAACTGGGCATGGTGGCTATGAGGTCAACTTGGTTGTCACTTGATTGGAACTGAGGTCCACTAAGAGGTACTTCTGGCAGACGTGTGAGAGTATTTCCTCCGTGGTTCCCTCCTGCATTTGTTTGAGTTCCTGCCCTGATTTTGCTCAACGATTAACTGTGATTGGGAAGTATAAGCTAAACAAACCCATTTCTGACCCAAGTCATAGTCTTTATCACAAAAAACAAAAAAAAGCAAACAAAACAGGCTCCATCTCAGATAAACAAGAGTACTTACAATGATGTCATTAAAATCTATTCCAGCATGAATCATGGGGCTTACATCTCTCAGTGAACAAACAATTTGAGAGCTGAGCTAAGTAGGCTGGAACCACAAGGGAAGGATTTGGAATTGTGTGTGTGTGGGGTGTGTGGGGGGGTGTTGAGACAGGGTTTCTCTGTGTAGTCCTGGCTGTCCTGGAACTCGCTCTGTAGACCAGGCTGACATCAAACTCGCAGAGATCCCCTCCTGCCTCTGCCTCCTGGGTGCTGGGATTTTTAAACCATCAGAGTTACCTGGGAACCACACACAAAGCGCCAGAGTGGCAACTTTCATCATTCATGCTGGGTTGAGCGTTTTGGTAATGTGTTATGCATGTTCTGGAGAGCAACCTCTCAATCCCACTCCTGTAAGTAACCCCCCCATCCCACCTCCCCACCCCCCACCTCCGTCCAACTCACTAGGTCATTAAGTTAAGCTTGGGTGGAATTTATTATTTAGTCTAACATTAGTGTCCTATCTGGAACAAATAGACATTTGTTTACATCTCTCCAGGAAAAGTCACTAGCCAATAAAATTATTTATTTCCTTGTTTGGTTGTTTTTGGTTTTGGTGTTTTGAGACAGGGTTTCTCAGTGTAACCATCTAGGCTGTCCTGGAACTCCCACTGTAGACCAGGCTGGTCTCAGACTCACGGAGCTCTGCCTGCCTCTGCCACCCAAGTGGTGAGATTAAAGGCATGCACCACCCATTCCTGGCCACCACTAAGATGTTTAATGAAAAAACAGCCCCAGTAACACATGTCTATTCACCACAGTCACTTTTGTAACATAGAAGTATAGGATGTTCAAGAAAAAGGGGCAAGTAGACCATTAAGAGATTTCATATGTCAAACAGAAAAAGATAAACTTGACAATGTAAACCTTATAGCTATATAGTACAATTTGTACTTGATGCAGAGAATGTATATATTAGCAGTCACAGAACATTTGTGAACACTCATCATAGTTAAGGGGAGGGGGAAATCACAGAAAATTCCACAAAGTAGAAGCAGAATCATGAGAAAGAAGCCAAGGCCAAAATCTCCTTCTGCAGCTGAGAAAGTTAATACTGAGAGTCACTATCTTTCTTGCTTGTTAAAACCAGTTTTATGATTTGGGGTGAGCTAAAATTTCCAATGAAAAAGAATTCATCTGCCATTCATTTTATGATCTATGAGGCGGATTGGTGGACTATGTGCATGAGTCACTTTAGAAGATGCTCTCGATTCGTCAGAAAAGGACACACTGGAGATCTTTAAGCCCATCTGTCTTGTGTTTTCTCAGAAGTATCTGATGCAGCAGGCGCAGTGGCACTTGACACTCTTGCAGAGGACCCACATTGTGGCTCAGGACAATTTGAGATCTGATGATCTCTTCTAGCCTTCACGAGAACTGTACTTACATGCACAATGTACATACATACATGCAGGCAAACACTTATATACATTTAAACAACATTTGAAATAAAAAAAAAAAAAATTAGAGACCACAGTAAAAACTAAAGGCATAATCTGAACATGTCAAAATGTAGTAGGGTGAGCAGGTCGGTGGTGACTCACGCCTTTGATCCCAGCACTCGGGAAGTAGAAGGAGGCTGATCTCTGTGAATTCAAAACCAGCCTGGTCTACAAGAGCTAGTTCCAGGACAGGCTCCAAAGCCATAGAGAAACCCTGTCTCGAAACCACCCTCCCCTCAAAAAATGTAATATGTGGAATGCCAACTATTGCGGTAAATAAGGATCAGGATAAACAAATAGGCCGAATAGATGTTTATTCAGGGAGAAATAACTTACAACCTAGACAGATGAACACCAGGAAATTCAACCCGATCCTCTCCTGTCCGAGTCACGCCAGAAAGAGAGAGCACCTTCCTGGCCCCCTCCGACCTCCTTCCTCAGGTCACCTCCGCCCATCGCTCCACCCCCCAATGGGCGTGGTCAGTGCTACAGAAGGATTATCTCACTACAGCCAACCTTCTGCTTGTGGACATTAAGGACTTTCTAAAGACTCCATGCTGCCTTCCAAACTGACTGGGTCATTTACAGTCCACCAGCTATGTGAATATGCTCCAGCTGTTTCACCCCCAATGAGCTCCAAGTCTACCCCACACGGGTATGCTCACACATCAATGTATTTTTCAGCACCATTTACAACGGAAAAATTGTAGAACCAACCTAGGTGTTCACCAGCAGAGGAACAGATAATAAAATGTGGCGTCTACACACAGTGGAAACATTTTCCTTAAAGCATGAAGTCATGTTGTTTATGGGAAAGTAGATGCATGATGTGCGGTGTCTCTCTGTATGCTGTGGATGTGTTTTTATTACCATTGGTTAATAAAGAAACCGATTTGCCCAATAGCCAGGCAGAATAGAGCCAGTTGGGAAACCCAAGCAGAGACACAGGGAGAAAGAGGGTGGAGTTAGAGAGGCACCAACAAGCCCTGGGGAAGCAAGAGGTGAGGTAACAAGCCATGAACCTCATGGTGAATATGGAATTGGGTTAGTTTAAGTTATAAGAGCTAGTTAATAACAAGCCTGAGTCATTGACCAAACAGTTTGTAATTACTATTAAGCCTCAGAGTGGTTATTCGGGAACTGTCGGGTGGGAGAGAAATAACAAGTTACAGATACAACTGGGAATAATCATATTAAATGATTTCAGCTGGTCTCAGAAAGACAAATGCATGTTTTCTCCCATTTGTACTTCTTTGGTTTATGTAGATACACGAAATCATACATGTATCTAAATCATACATGTATCTATGGCATGAAAGCAGCAGTAAAATTACCTAATGGGACAAAGGTGTTGATAGGGGGAGGGATGGGGGAGAGAAACAAAGGGAATATGCATGACATGCAAAATAGACTTGCATGAAGACTTAAAATATTTAAAAAGAAAAAAGAAGTACCTTGTAGTATATCAACACTTATTTACAAAACAGAACCAAGGTACAAATTGTGAAGCTACACACACACACGCAGATCAGTTTGCAGGCATCAGAGAACAGCTGGAGAAATGAGAGCTTGCCCAGAGAGGAGAGAATTCTGTAGTGAAGGAAGTGAGTTTTTCCAGTTCCCTCCTGTATTAGCGCAGTGTCAGTGATGGTATAGTGCAGAATTCTCAATCCTGGCTGAAGTATACTTTTTAAACATGTGTCCGTGTGTGTGTCCATGTGTGTGTGTGTGTGTGTGTGTGTGTGTGTGTGTGTGTGTGTGAATGTGCACGCGCACACTTCATCTCTGCTGTATGATCTACCTCCTCTGAGACAGGGCTTCGCCTAGACTGGCCTTGCTGTGGACCTCAGGGATTCTCTGGTTTTTTCCTCCTCAGCCCTGGGATTACCAGTACCATGCCTGATATTTTTATGTATGTTCTGGGGCATAAAACTTAGGTCCTTGTGCTTGCAAGGCAAGTGCTCTAATTTAGCAATTTGTCCAGCTCCTGAGACCTTTATGAAAAGGTCTTTCTTTTAAGACTTTTAAGAAAACAAAAACCGGAAGTATTGGCACTCTCACATAGCAAGACTACAAAATTGCAACACAACATCATAAACAGCTGTAAATTAAAATGTCAAAATTGCAGCAAGAACATACAACCCACTTGCCTTTCTTTTAAATCATCTGACTACACTAAACATGTCAAAATATTAAGATGATAAAGGAAATAGCCAGGTGTGGTGAAGGCAGGTGAATTCCAATAAGTTTGAGGCCGGCCTGATCTACATAGTGAGTTATAGGCCATCCAAGGCTACATAGTGAGATCCTGTCTCAAAGATAGCAACAAAAGAAGAATAAAAGTAAGCTAGGCATGGTTCCTCACACTGTAATTCTCAGCACTCAGGGAGTTGGAAAACAGAGTCATGAATTAGTAGTAGCTGTCCAGAGTAACTTAATAAGACTCTATCTGTCCATCTGTCTATCTGTCTTCTATCTATCTATCTATCTATCTATCTATCTATACATCCATCCATCTATCATCTATCTACTATTTATCCACCCATCCATCCATCTTAATCTACCTATCCATTGATCTATCTCTTTTAGAAATTAATTTACAAAGAGGAAAGATGGCAGATTCTAGACACTCAGAAAATGCCAAAATCTCCATAAGTCTGAAAGAAAACAGAAAGTGCATGGGAAGGATGGATAGCATGGAGCAGCAGAGGAATGCAATAGTAAACAATACATACAGACTAGGTGAGCCCTGGGAACTTTAGAGCTGTGTGATCAAGAGGACTCTTACCTCACACAGCATGGCAGGGAAGGAAGGGACACCTCTGTAGATGGGTATTAGCAAACGAGAAGAGGAAGGCTGCATGAATACACACTCTGGACCTCTGTAAAATGTAGTTTTGGAGAGATCTGTGACCTGTGCCACAGGAGCTGCAAAAGTTCCCTGTGCCTCCAGCATGCTCATTAAACAGACAATGAAGAGCATCACAGGAGTCTTCCCAGCAAATCCTTCAGCAGGAGCCCCTGGGTATAAACCCCCCCAGTTCCAAAAGCCACCCTTCTCCACCAGCTAAGTGGGTGACCACCACAACAATCGGGAGATGGTTTGTGACTTACACACTGCCTTGCAGACACTGTCTACTTTGGGAAGCATGGGCCAAGCTGACTGGAAAGTAGAAGGTGCTTAGAGGAGGAAGCTGTGGTCCAACCTCTGGGAAGAGGATCAAGTCTAATTGTGCATAAATGAAGCAAGGGTTGGCACTCAGAATAGCATGGCCAAGATGTAAATGCCTATACCTTGCTTTATCAGCAAACACTGATTCAGCTTGACAGCTTCTAGTCCTCAGAGCCCCAGAGACTACTGGTAGAAACACCCTTCTTGGGCATTTTCCACTCCCATTCCCATAAAGGCAGAGTGCTGATGTTGTCGGGCAAAACTCAAATAATTGGTCCTCTGTGTTGGCAAATGACACTCCCCTGGGAGCTCTGTTGGAATAAATATGGAGAACTCTGACAGGAAGTGGGCCTAGTGGTTATGAGAGTGCACACCTCAGCAGGGTGGAGTACAACCTTTGACATTCCTTTGGGTCCAATGTGTGTGTCCTATATCAAGTAGATGTCAAAGAAATGTTGGTGGAGGGAGTACATAGCATCCACACCCTCTTTCTTTTCAGCAAAATAATAAACACTGTTTTTCTTGCTCTGTGTTGGTTTTCATCTGTTTCCTCTTCACTGCTATTTCTTTAAATTCAGAAATTTCTTTCTTTTAACTTTTTAAATTCTTTTATTTGTTTATATTTTATGTATGAGTGCTCTGAAGGTATACTTGCATGCCAGAAGAGGGTATCAGATCCATGTGGTTGCTAGGAATTGAACTAAGGTCCTCTGGAAGAGCGGCCAGTGCCCTTAATGCCCCTCACTGTCATTTCTTACACCTTCAGTTTGTGATCTTTCCCACCTTGATTCGTCTTGTTTCTTTTCCCTATTTCCATTTCTATTTTAATTTAATATTAATGCTTTACCTTTACTAATTCTAAACTCCCAGTTTATCTGAGAATTATTCTCACTCCCATCCCCTAGTTGCTTATCGGCATGTAGTCTTCAGTTATTTCTCCATCACATTTGGATATGTAGTTTGCTTCTCAAAAGGCATTATTAAGATCTACATGCTCTCCTCTGAATGGCAGTGAGAACTGAGACCTAAAATTGGAAGTAACACACATATCAAAACATGCCCAATTGCCACATAGAAATAAAGTAAATAAGAAAGGCAAGGCAATCCAAGTCTTTAAAAAGCTCATAATCCCTCAGTAAGTAAGTCAAAATATATTAAACTAGTTGAAATGTGTGGTGGTTTGAATAGGAATGGCCCCCATAGGCTCATGTGTTTGAATGGTTGGCCCATAAGGAGTGGCACTATTAGGAGGTGTGGCCTTGTTGGAGGAAGTGTGTCATATGGAAGCAGGCTTTGAGGTCTTATATATGCTCAAGCAAGCCTGCTTCTGTACCCTGTCCATGAGGTTCTGATAGGATATGCCCTCAGCTGCAGCCATTAACATTGTGCATATTCACAACGTTCCCTTTTAAAAGGGCCCTGACCACCTCCCATCCTTCCCTCTCTCTTTCATTCCCTCTCTCCCTCTCTCTGACTGATTCTCACCTTCCGCCTCTTTCCCCTATTTCCTGCCGTTCCTGTCTCTGGAGGCCAGTCTCCACCCTCCCCTTCTCCCCTTTTATGATCCCTTTCGCTAATAAAAAACCCTCTGCTTGAATCCTGTCGTGTGGCGTCTTTCTCTTGAGCACCACTTTTCTTAAATTACAACAATGCCCAGTACACAGTTCACTTCCTACTGCCTACAGGTTAAGATGTAGAACTTCTCTAGCACCATGTCTGTCATCTGCCATGAAAATGGTGGATTAAACCTCTGAACGGTAAGCCAGCCCCAATTAAATGTTTTCCTTTATAAGAGTTGCCGTGGTCATGGTGTTTCTTCATAGAAATAGAAACCCTGACTAAGACAACATGCCAGATAAATACTTCAAAGTCTACTGCAGAAAAATGATCTCAAAGAAGATGTACAAAAACAGATGAATGGAGCAAGGAAGACAGTTCAAAGGAACACTGACCCAGAAGGGAAATTCAGGATCTTGTACAAATAATTGGACAACAATGTTGGACAACAATGTTGGAACTCTATGTATGTGGAGTTTTAGAAAAAAAAAAAAAAAAAACCAAATCAAATAAACAAACAAATAAACAAAACAACAAAAAACCCTAGTAGAAAGTGTCATTGATGAACAAATCAAATAGCTGAGGGAACATTGGTGGGGGTTATCCCATTCAGAAAATTTAAAAAGTAAACAACCATGACCAGAACGTCTAAGAACTTCAGCACACAAACAGGAAACCCCTCCTGAGAAACAATGGAAACATTTCAAGACCTATGACTTTGGTTTTTCAGAATATAGCTTTCTTTCTTTGTTTCCATTTTATTTTATTTTGAGACATGGCCTCTCTATTTGGTAGCTCTGTCTGTCCTGGAACTCACAGAGATCCTCCTGTCTCTGCCTCCCAAATGCTGGGATTGAAGACGTACACCACCACACCCAGCTTCTAAATATAACATTCTCAAAGCAACTCTAATACCTCCGTGAATAACAGGAAGTGTGACAAATGGGATTACATTAAAATGAATTGCTTCTGCACTTCAAAGAAAATGAGTCTACACAACTTCATCCCTTCTCCTATAAATGGCAAGCTTGTGGCGAGATGGTTTAGCAGGTGAGGGGGCTTGCCACCAAGTCTGATGACCTAAGTTTGATCCCCCAGACTCACATGGTAGAAAGAATTGAGTTCTACCAGTCGTCCTGATCTCTGCCTACACACACACACACACACACACACACACACAGAGAGAGAGAGAGAGAGAGAGAGAGAGAGAGAGAGAGAACAGACTCACTACTGTTTCCTCTAACATGCAGAAGCATTTTGTTTTAATGTGTTAAGCAAAACCATATCTGTGGCTTCCTCTGATAGGTGGGATGTAGGAGGGGAAACATCCACAAAGGCAAACAGGAGCAATAAGGGATGTGGAAGGGAAAAGGGGACTGAGGGCTGAGAATGATAAGGGGTGGGATATGACTGAAGAACACTGCAAGTAAACACTGCAGTGGAGCCCCTTTGTAAAAATTAAATATAATTTTTTAAAAGGAAAGGGCCATTAGTGTCTTAGAGAGAAATCACAGAAGGAAAAATATAACTGGAAATCACTGAGATGTGTTTCACGATGCCGTGGATAAAGTCCACCGAATAGAACCCTAAGCAGTCAGATCAACAATGGCAAACCGAAGCACATGGAGAGGTAGCCGAGGACACTAACAAGCATCAGTGACCCTTGGTGCAATATCCCATGATATAAAAAAAAAAAAAAAAAAAAAAACTCGCCATTTTGGAGATCAGTATGGTGGCTACTCAGGAAAATGGGTATTAGTTTACCACAGGACCCGGCAATCCCCCTCTTAGGCACATACCCAAATAATCCACATCCATGCAACAAAGACATGTGCTCAACTATGTTCATAGCAGCATTATTCAATGGAATACTACTCTGCAGAAAATATAATGGAATCTTGACATTCGCAGTCAAGTGGATGGCACTTGAAGAAACCATCCTGAATGAGGTAACCCAATCACAAAAAGAGGAACATGGTATGTACTCGCTCATATATGGATTTTAGACCTAGATCAAAGGATCACCAGCCTATAATTCACATCGCCAGAGGAACTAGGATACAAAGTGTATTCTAAGAGATTCATATAAAGTCCCTCACAAAAGGGGGAAGGGACAAGTCCCCCAGAGTACAGGGGAATGGGGGGGCAGTGAATGGGGAGAGAAGTAGGAGAAAGAGAAGGAGAGAAGAGGAGAGCACATGCGACTAGGAAGATTGAGTCAAGGTAGGAATAGAAGACAGGAGAAAGAGACAGAGAGAGAGAGAGGGAGAGAGAGAGAGAGAGGACATAAAAGAGGGAGCCATTATTGGTTTGAAGAGAAAACTGAACCTAAAGAAATGTCTAGAGACCTACAAGACTGCCGCCAACTAACAATTTGAGCATCCATGGAAAGGCTACCATAAATGCCCTTCCCTGATAGTGAGATCAACAACTAACTTATCCACCATCATGGAGCCCTCATCTAGTACCTGTTGGAAACGGAAGCAAACACCCATACCTAAACACTGAGTCGAACTAGAACCCAGATGCAGATGGAGAGGTCAAGACCAGGCTGCAGAAACACATAGAGACAGCTGACCCGAACAAAGAGGAGCTAAAGGGCCCCCAGACTGATAGCTTGGAATCCAGCATGGGACTGACTCAGACCCCGTGAATATGGGTCTCAGCCAGAAGGACTGAGCAGTCTAAGGGACCTCAGACAGTGGAACCAGGATGTATCCCTGGTGCACAAAAGGACTTTGCGAACACATCCCCCATGGAGGGATACTGCCTTAACCTAGAGACAGGAGAGAAGCCCTAGTCCCTACTTCAAATGACCTCTCAGATCTACATGACCCCACCAGGAAGGCATTGCCCTACATATGGAATTGGGGTGGGGGATGGGAAGGGAGGGTTGTCAGGGTGCATGTGAGGGGGCAGAGAGAGTAAGAGGGAGAGAAGGAGGGAGGGGAGGGAGAGGGAACTGGGATCGACATGTAAAATAAAAAATAATAAATAAATAAAAGTGAAGAATGGCAAAAATTCTATTTTGAAGAAAGAATGACTGGGAAATTTTCCATTTTAATAAGGATTAGAAATCCACAAATCCAGAAAACTTAATGATCTCAAGTTTATTTACCTGGCTGTTTCTGGGCTTCTCAAATTACTTAGGTTAGGATGAAAGTCAACGTACCTTCCAATAAGTCATTAACTGTTTGACCCCACTTGGCAAAATAAACGGAGCCGCCTCCTGCCCAGGGAAAACAAATCAGCTTAAAAACTGCATCAGGCTTCCGAAACAAGCAGTTCAAAACCTTTTCATTCCTAGAAAGAAAATTCAAATATATTTAGCATTATAGAATGATACTGGAGTTCAAAATTGAATTATGTGTATTTTAATGATAATTCTCATTCACTGAACAGTGCATGCGTTGAAATGTGAAGTAATTGCCTTTCTTTTTCCACGAAGCAAGGCCCCAAAAGTTTAAATGGTCTATGGTTTGTGATCTGAATTCCTAGGGACATAGATGGAATGATAAATGTCTATGTGTTTTGTATGTTCAATTAAAGTGTTGGAACTATTAATTCAGACATTGAGGAAGTAGTTTTATTCAAACAATTCATAGGTTTTTTTCTGTCTCAGTGTCTTAACTGCCACCAAGAGACACTTCCCAAATCACCTACAAATTTTCCACAGCATATAATTTTACTCTTTTTTTTAAAAGTGCTTCATAAACAATACTTCTGAATCTGTGCTTATGCATTATTGCCACTAGAAATTTTATATCACGATCCACCATTAAAACAATTGATTTTAGAAACATTTCTATTTTAAACAGCCTAACTGTGTGGATATATTTGTATTCTCCACAATATAAACCTTACTTGAAAAGATTCCAAATTGATCCTTACATTTTTTTTACAAAGCTATGTAAGCTTTCCAAATGAGAAACCATAAGCCATGAGATACAGACTTTTAAGTCTGTTTTGTCTTTTCTAAAAGTATCAATGCTCAAACTTCACATATTAAAGGCTTGGTCCGTAACTGAAGGTGTTACAGAAGTGGAAAGGCCTTGAGAAGCAGAAACTGGTGGGAGGAAGTGAGGTGACCAGATGCACTGCATTCTGGGAGTTTTGCCCTCTCATTCTCAGCCTTTTTCTGCTCCCGCTTCCTCCCTCCTGAGGGCTCTTTAACTAAGTACCTAACTCTGCCATGCACCCCCTGTCATGTCCACTTTTCTACAGGACCAACACAGCACGGCTCAAGGACTATGGGTTGAAAAAACACATCGAGATTTTGATATAAATGAATATATTTCCTGCATGTATGTGCGTCACATGCATGCAGTTCCCACAATAGCCAGAGGAGGGCATCAGAACTACTAGAACTAGCTATGAGCATCATCTGGGTGCCGAGAGTTAAACTGGCTTCTCTGTAAGAGTAACAAGTGCCCTTAACTGCTGCTCCATCTCTCCAGGCCCCCAACCAAATCTTTGCTCTTTAAAGTTTACATTTTGACATTTGATCTTGATAAAAAGTAAAACAAACAGACAGACAAACAAACCAAAAACAGGTTGAGATCTGTTTAGATACTCTGTTCTCATAGGAGACTTTTTGCTTTATAATAAAATAACTGAGAACATGCATAAAGTGAGACACTTAATAGATGGTCATAGGTGAATATTTCTTTGGGAAAAAGATACTTTTTAAAGAAAAAAATTTTTTTGTGTGTTGGGAATTGTCAGATATTGAACCTAGGACCTAAACATGCTGGACAAATTCTCCACTACTGAAATACATTCCCATAAAAAAAATCAAAAAACAAAACAACAACAAAAAACATTTCTTGACTTATATCTGAGCATTTAAATAATTGTTAGATCAAAGTTTTTCCCTTTGAGAAACAACATTTATTTTTTGAAGCTGTATTCACACTCACCAACCCCATCTACAACAAACTCACAGGGACAAGCTGGGCCCTGATAGAAATTTCATGGACAAACAACATCCTGAAAAGTCCCAAAGCTGTTTGACCCAGGAATGAGAACCATCTATAGAGTCTTCTCTCAACTCGGTTAAAAACTACAGAACAAAGGGATGACTTTTTTTTATTCTAATTTTTAGGGGCTGTAGAAGATTCCAAAAGAATTAATTGGGTCTAACACCTTTAAAATTTATTCATTCATTTGGCTCTTTAGACAGGGTCTTTGTAGCTCTGGCTGTCCTAGAACTCACTATGTAGATGAGGCTAGTGCTGAGATTAAAGATGTATACCGCCATGACCAGCTTCAAAATATTTAAAGTCAAGATTCCATATAATGAATTATATATATATATATATATTCTAAAAGACAAAAGAAGTGTTAGGACAAGATGAGCTATGAGTTTGTAGTACCTAAAGTTTGAGAGCATTAAGAGGTCTTTGAAAAAGAGTACAACTTTACTAATACAAAATTAAAAACCAGTTTTTGGGTTTTTTGTTTGTTTTGTTTTGTTTTTTGAGACAGGGTTTGTTTGTGTAACAGTTCTAGCTGTCCTGAAACTTGCTTTGTAGATCAGGCTGGCCTCAAACTCACTGAGATCCTCCTGCCTCTGCCTCCTGAGTGTTGGGACTAAAGGCATGCACCACCACTGCCTGACATGATTTGTGCCATTAATTGGTTTAAATCAGTGTCAATCTCCAGAACTCACTTGATGAGGCACTAATACCAATAGTGAACCCGTGGCCAAGCTCTTGAGAAGGTAGAACCCATCAATGGCTGGTCACCATGTGGTTGATCCTAGACTGTGGAAGCACTCCCACTCTAGATTCTGCTTATGCCCTTCACATCCAGCCTTGTCTTTCCACTTTAAAGACCACCAAGAACTTAGTACACTTTTTTCTATGTTTTCTATTTAAAGTATCTACAACTTTAGAGTCAAGAGTGATCAGAGACTGTATTTATTCCATTTGTATAGTGATCAAGGATGAAGAGAAAAATGACTCAAATTTAAATACTAGGTTCACCTCTTACCATGGGACACTAGGCAAACTGCTCAAGAGCTTTGTATTCTCAGTGGTCTCGACAAACAGGACAGTGCCTGACGCTTCCTCACTAGTTAACTGTGCAAGCAAAAGTATTAAATTCTGACTTACAGTTTTAGACACTCGTTATCTGTTATTTCTTTAACAGTTGACAAAAGGGAGACTCAAAGTCATTAAGTCACCAAACCACTTAGTGATAAGATCCTGCTCCTTAGTAAAACTCTTTGTCTATTAACAGTTTTCCCATAGTCACAGCATCAATGTCACTAAGTAACAAGAAGTAGCAGATATGAAGCTTTGGATCAGGGTTGGGACAAGAATGGATTTTCTAAGTTAGTGTGTTCTTCCAAACTCTGCAAAGATATACAAGCCAAGCAAGCCAAAGATATACGATTTAACCTTTAAAATGCTGCCAAGGGACCAGCAAGATGTCCAAGTGAGTAAAGGCACCTGATGGCTTGAGTTTCATCCTCAGGATTCACATGATGGAAGGAGAAAAACAACTCTGGCAGGTTATCCTCTGACCTCCACATGTTCATAGTGGCACACACAATAACCAACCAATTAGCTGATTAAATGTAATTTTATAAAACCCCAAATTATTAGCATTATAGACAAGCAATTAGTACCATCTTGCTCTAAAGACATCGGGCACCAAACTCGAGATCAGTGATGCACCTCTAACAAGGCAATCTGACAAAGTCGGGGTGCTAAACACCAAAGGCAGGGTTCAGGGAGCCAGGAGTTCCCAGAAGTAGCCTACCTGGTTCTCTTGGCATGATCTGTCATCTCCATGCTGTGAGTTGATTAGGATTTGCTGCTCTTGGCAGTCTTCTGTGTCCTTGTTGAATTCAACTTGACCCTGGGCATAAAAATCTCCAATAAGCTTTATATCATAGAGTGACCAGATTTCTTTTAAACCCATTGACTCCAGCGGTCATTCTAAAACCTGCTTTTAGAAGGCAATGGAAAAGAGAAGGACAGCAGTAGGAAAAAGGAGGAAATAAAGAAGCAGGAAATGTATGAAGAGGTAGAGGAAGGAATAGAAAACAAACTTGCTAGAAACAGCACAGCATTTGGCAGCCTTGTGTTGGTGGTCTCTGTTTATATATAGCCATGACTGTGTTCACTAACAGACTTTCAACTAATGTCGATGAAGGCATAAACATTTAACTGTATTAACCATCCAGAGCATCCATTTACAATCTGCAGCTAACAAAGCCATTTTATTTCCCTTCAAGGCTGAAGGCAGCAAGAGTCATTGAAAACAGCAGTCACTGTAGGTATTGAAGCAAAGGCCCACAAGACAGAATGCTGGCTGAGAGAGAAGTAAATGGTACTACTGTGAAACAGATGAGACCATCTCAAGGAAGGGAGCTTGCACTGCTCAGCCGATTGTAGCGATTGCAACTTCGTGGAGCTGAATGGAAGAACCAGAGTGCAGACAATGATCAAGCAGACCACTCAGACCAGAACACCCTCATTAGCACATCTCTCCCCTGCCCCAGGCAGTTCTTTGCTCTATCTGCATCCTGACAGGGGACCTGGGGGTCACTGGGCCCCTTTAGTCCACATGAGGGGACTCTCCCTCCTCTGCCTTTCACTGTCACTCAGCTTTCAGTGTGTCCCTTTAGTTGGCACAGTGGGATTGATGATACAGTCTAACCTGCCTGGGCAGCTGAAACCGGGGATTTTACTCTTAAGACTCGGGTAACGCTATCATTAGACTCCAGTGATGCACAAGTATCAAACTTCTAATCCTGGAAGCTTCTGACATTCACTAAAGAAAATAAAAATTAGTATAGTTTATAAATATATAAATGATGTATAATTTATAAGGGTTTTTAACCCACTTACCAGCTAGAAGTCCCCTGAATCCCTGGAGGTCATGGAAAGACTACGATTATTGCACGACTTCAGTGGTGAATCTCAGGAGCGTTGCGAGAGCTGAGGCTTAGCCTTCAGCTATCTGCTCCTTACAGCAGAGAGGACTGCCCTGAGAGAGTCTGCTCACAAGAGGGCGTAGAGCTAGCCTTTTATCTGTAAGAACTCAGAGGCGTACTGAACATCCTGAACGCTCAGATGACTCACCCTGATAATTTACTAGGCTCTGTGAGGAGGTTTTGCTCCTTAGAGAACAATACAAAATGCAGATTGACATGGTGGTGCCTGCTTGCAATTCCAGTACACAGGAGGCTGAAACACAATGATTGGGGGTTTGAGGTTAGCCAGAGCTAGGGAGAAATACTATCTCAAAATAAAAGTAAAAGGGGAAACAAAAGAGTCTGTGATCAGTTTGAGGGGATCAAGAGTTACTCAGGGCTCAAATTTATTATTCAACAAATATTTTCTTAAAGTGGAGATCATCTGCATCGTTTCTCAATAGTGCCAGGATCCAAAGGTAAAGCAATAAGGGCTCTCTTTAAGGAAACATTGGTTTGCTGCTGCAGAAGATGAACAAAGGCGAACACATTATATTCAAGAAGCAGGGTCTCAGATTTTACCAGGACTGAGACATAACACCAGACTGTAAGAGAAACATGCCCAACAGATTGTAAGAAAGATAGACAATAAGAAAATGTGCTTACATCTGTGCCTAGTGAATCAGAAGACAAAACAAAAACAAACCACAGATAATGACCAAGGTAAAATAACAGAGCAGGTGAGGACATGGGAGACAGATGTGGTCACTGAGAAGCAGTAGTTAAACTGCTGGGTATGTAGAAGAGCCCCAGAAATGAAAGATACTAAAGTTTCTTTTCAAGCAAAAGAAAGAGCCATATAGGGGTGTGTGTGTGTGTGTGTGTGTGTGTGTGTGTGTGTGTTAGACCCAAGGCCTTGTAAATGTTAAGTGTTTTAATGCTCAGCTACAAAAGCATCTTGGACAGCTTGGAATTCTCAGACCCAGAAAAAATGCCTTTTAAAAACCTGAGCAACTTTGAGGATTCCCTTGCTCCCATGCTTCCCACAGCAGTGCACACATGGGAACACTATCAGGACTTAGTGGGTTACAATAAAAAAGACATGCAGTTGGGAGAGAGTCATGTTGGGAAATGGGGAGAACTGGAGAAGGCAAATGCGGGGCAGATGTGGTCATGTTTCATTGTGTATCTATATGAAATTTTCAGTAATAAAGAAAAAAATTAAAATAAACACATAGGACAGTAAACCATTGTCCACACAAATTAATGCTAGTTAAAATATGGTTTACAATTTTCCTCGCCATTTAGAAGACATTGTAAAGTATTGAAAATTGACTGCAAATGTAACAAAACAGAACATTGGGGGAATTAAAAAAGAAAATTACATTTGTTTATTAAAAGGATTAACAAACAAATAAATAAAACAAAAACAGCCAATGTGAAAACATTTTCACAGTGGTGGAAACTAGCCTGTCACTAAGTAGAAGATTGCTGGGAAGACAAATAAGTCACAGGGCAGATGTGAGATATGTGAAGAAATGAAAGGCATGAGCAGTGGAAACTAATCGAGGAAACAGGGACAATGATAGCTTAAAGTATAATTGTAATTCACGCTGAGTCAAATTTACAATTTAAAATGCCAGACCAAACATATGAGTCAGCAGTAAATGAAGAAAGAGCCCTCCCTTCGTTATTCAATAGTTAGACTTTGGTAAGTTTGTGAGTTTCCATTTCTAAAGCAAGCCCTTAAAACAGTAACAATGAAAATGACAAGTCACCAAAAGTTGAAAAGAAAAGCATCTAGTCATTCAAAAAGGAAAGGCATAAGAAACAAACAGTGGGTAAAGGAGGTAGAAAGCCCAGGCCAAGGTCAGGTTCAAACCTGAGTTCTGCCCCAAGGAACTCACATGTAAAGACAAGAGGAATGGTGCCACAAAGTTGTCCTCTCGTGGCCATAGAGGGCTAGAGGCATGTACAGACAGGCAGGAAGCAAGATGGCTGCGTGCAGACAGGAAGTGAGATGGCGGGACCGGAGAAAGGATATAAGCAGGAAGAAACAGGAAGGAACCCGCTCTCTGGTCTGCTAAAAGCTGAGGAGGTGAGGGTGGCTGTGCCTTGCTCCTCCTTCTCTCTGACCTCTCGGCATTTTCCTCTATATCTGACTCTGGATTTTAATTATTTAGACCAATTATGGGGGGCATGAGAAGGTCAGAGAGAGGGAGGGAGGGGGAACTGGGATCAATATGTAAAATAAAAATAAAAAAATAAAAATCCATAAAGTCAGCCTATAATGGTGGTTGGAGGGACCTAGAGTGTATTACACTCTAGAGGTTTGTTCTTTTGTAACATAGAATTTATACCTAATCAATATTGTACACTTAGACATTGGTTGAAAATGTAATTTTTCTTACCTTTCAAAAGAGTGTTTGATGAAAAAAAAAAAGAACAACTTTTTACACCCCAATGAGGAAATAATGTCACAGCAAAGAGGGTAGGGTTAGCCGCTCAAGATGTCCCCTGTATACAAAGAATTAGTGCTTACAGCTACCTCAGCATACGCTTTTGGCTCATTTGTACTGTACAGCGTGCAGTCTTTTGCCTCCTTTGCATAATGTGTTTGGTTTTTGTTTGTTTGTTTGTGTATAAGCTCTGCTCCAAGAAGGAGCTCTGCATACAGTTTCATGCATCATATGGCCCCATTAGCATCTTAAATCTGCATCATGATGGGTACAGCTGGCCGTAGGTGAGTAGGTGTCCATATTTCCTCTTCTTTCTCTTTGCTAACTTAATATTTTTATTCATACAGTAGATGATTAGAGCTTTGCACAAAGCTACCAGGCCTTACTTTGTCCCATTCTGCTCCCCTAAAAGTAAGGGGCTTGGACTTGAATAAGAATTCAAGATGGTTTGGCTAGTGTTCCAACAACTGCTGCTCTCCTGTAAGATGGGTGAGAATGGGCAGGCACTGAAGTTTTGATAATTAGAAGATGGACATGGTTTTAGCCACAAGGTCAGTCACAAGTCCATGACCAGAGTCCAAAAGGAACAAACAATTTCCAGTTCAAATTTATTCTAAGTAAACCAGGGAGAGGGAAATATATTTCAAGGCCAGCCATCAGGAGGTAGAAAGAGAAGATTGTAAGCAAGAGCAGGCATAGCAGATGCAAAGAACTGAAGCCAGGGCCCTGGGGCCCATCCTGCCTTGGACAGACTGCCTGTGTCTAGGTGAATCTAACTATCTACCCAGAGTTTACTATATTTCTCTTACTACCTCTTTTTTTTTCTTCCTTCCTTTTCTTTTCTTTCCTTTTCTTTTTGCATCCTGTTGAATTCATCTCTTGAATATGCAAGCATCAAGGCATCCCACGACACCCTAGTGCCATGACTCAAATCACTTAAAAGCAATTCTGTCTTTCATGAGTAGAGGTATGTCTTCATATCTGCTTGAACTAAGGCTTGCTTTCTCTTTTTTTTTCCTCCTTCCTTCTTTCTTTTCTTAGTTCAATAATTTTTTTTAACCTCTTTCTCTTCATTCTTTTTGCTTCTCCTAGTTGAAACCTCTTTAGTGTCTAGTGAGGGCCACAGGCAAGACGTCTTTAGATCCAAAGCTCAGTAGGAATGATGTTTCTACTTCTTCTATTCCTTCATCATTGGGTAACATTTTCTGCCTTTTCTCCCCCTCTTGTGAATGAGAATGGCAGCCCCATGCTGCTTCTTACAACTGCTCTTCTATTTTCTCCTCCACCTCTTGCCTACTGTCAGCCTTGGTTTCTCTCTGTTCACTCAATTCCCACCAAGGTTAACTCTTGCTTTGTGGATGATACCTGTTCTTCTAAAAGCTGCCTCTACCACAAGCATGTGAGACAAAAATTTTGAATATTTTCTTCCCTTTGAAGTTAAGATGGAGCTGTTTTGCTTTCTGAAACATTTTTGGGAGCCATACTTTACTTACAGGAACAGGCCTCCCTCTGCTTGTCCTGTTGGTATGGTGTGTCTCATGACC